GGCACAGCTGATCGTCGGCACAGCTGATCATTGGCACAGCTGATCGTCGGGAGGGAGTGGAAGAAATACCTTAAGGAGTGACTGGGCTGGGGAGAATGCAGCCAGCGATGTCAGGCATGCACGATAAGGACTGGCTGGGTGGGCAGCGGAGGGGCTAGCCAGGGGCACAATTTGCCGGTTCTCTGAACCATGCAGAATCATAACAACCGGGTCTATTAAACCGGTCCCAACCGGTAGAATCCCACCCCTGGTTTTTCCCCGTTTTACGACTTTTGTTATTACACGAATCGCTGCAGTTCTTAAGTGAATCTGGTTTCCCCGCTGATTTTGCTTGTTGAGGGGGCGGGGGAGGGGTCGCAAAAGGCGATCACATTACCCCGGGACACTGCAACCGTCGTAAATACGAGTCAGTGGCTAACAACCCATGTTACTAACTTAACAAATGCAATGTTTCACTTAGCAACTGTGGCAAGAAAACGGGGCAAACTCACTTGACAAACGTTGCACTTAGCAACATCCCTTGTGGTCGTAACTTGGGGACTACCTGTCATAGACGAATTCAGTGGGTCAAACTTTCCAGGGGTGTAGACGTCAACTCCCAGAATTCTTAGACATGGATCTGCCGCTAGGAATTCTGGGAGCTGAAATGCACGCACACACACACACGCACACACACACACACACAGTGAGGATGCCCAAGTTGGCAAAAGCAGAATCATAACAACCTCTTTGACTTTTGTTGTTGCTCTCTTGTTCTTTTTTTTATTGTGTTATCTTTTCAAGGACTGGAGTCTTTTGTGGAGTTTTTAGTGTTTGTTTTTGTGGGAATGAAAAGTAAGAAATGTGTAAAAGATATTTGATAACTCTGGACGCGTCAGCAGCTTTTCATTTCCTGAGGTCTCGTGGATGAACCTGATGTGTTATTTCGCTGCCGTTGTTTCAGCTGTCTTGCAAGCTGTTGTTGTTGTTGTTTTAATTTCAGCTGATGGCCAACTGGTGGTGAACAATTTTTTTTTTGTAAAAAAAAAAAAAGTGTTATATAGTCCTCGAATAACGACCATAATGGAGCCCAAAATTTCTGTTGCTCAGCGAGAGGCATTTGTTAAGTGAACTTTGCCCAGTTTTACGACATTTTTAAAAGGGTTGTTAAGTGACTTGCTGCAGTTGTTAAATTAGTAACACAGTCGTTAAGTGAATCTGGCTTCCCCGATGACCTTGTCAGAGGGCCACAAAAGGGGATCATGTGACTGCAGCCATCATAAACACGAGTCGGGGGATGCTGCAGCGGTCTTAAGTGTGAAAAACGTTCATAAAGTCCTAGTGGACAACCATTTAAATATGAGCCAGCCTTGTGCAGCAGCTGCCAAAAAAGCCAACACAGTTCTAGGCTGCATAAACAGAGGGATAGAAATCAAGATCACGTGAAGTGTTAATGCCACTTTATAAGGCCTTGGAAATAAGGCCACACTTGGAATACAGCATCCAGTTTTGGTCGCCACGATGTAAAAAAAGATGTTGAGACTCTAGAAAGAGTGCAGAGAAGAGCCACAAAGAGGATTAGGGGGCTGGAGGCTAAAAAAACATATGAAGTAGGGTTGCTGCAATCGGGTATGTCTAGTTTGTTGAAAAGAAGGACTTGGGGAGACATGATAGCAATGTTCCAATATCTCAGGGGCTGCCCCAAAGAAGAGGGAGTCAAGCTATTCTCCAGAGCACCTGGGGGCAGGAAGGTAGAAACTAAACAAGAGAAGCAACCTAGGAGAAATTTCCTGACAGTGAGAAGAATTAACCAGTGGAACTGCTTGCCTCCAGAAGTTGTGAATATCCAACACTGGAAGTTTTTGAAAAGATGTTGGATAACCATTTGTCTGAAGTGATGTGGGGTTTCCTGCCTAAGCAGGGGGTTGGACTAGAAGACCTCCAAGGTCCCTTCCAATTCTGTTATTCTATTCTGTCCTATCCCATCCCATCCTATCCTATCCTATCCTATTCTTATCCTATCCTATCCTATCCCATCCCATCCCATCCCATCCTATCCTATCCTATCCTATTCTTATCCTATCCTATCCCATCCCATCCCATCCCATCCCATCCTATCCTATCCTATCCTATCCTATTCTTATCCTATCCTATCCTA